TGAAGGTGCAAATTAAGAAACCTAACTGCAGAGGTTTTAGTCGTTGTGCTTTTCATTCCATTTGTGACAGGACCACACAAATTGCTTGATGCCTTCAGGATTTTAATAGGAAAAGAAAAAAAGCTATAATTGAGACTACAGCTGGTTATAAGCAGAAGGTTATTTCAAAGCATATAGTGAAACACTGAACAGCTACAACAGTAAGACTGGCTAACCTTTGTAGTTCTTGTATTTATATCATGGTTTATATAATCCTTCATTTTATCCATAACCTATATCTGAAATTTTTATTTTAGAACACTGTTAAGACTTCTGTTGTGTTAAAAGTATGATTTACTGTACTGGAACAGTATCACTAAAATAATGTATAGTTGCATATTTTACATGGTGATCGTCTGTCTTCATTTTCATGCAGATGGAAGCCAAGCACACACAGACCCCGGTGGGTGTGGCTGGGGGTGACTAGGTGTGGATAGAAAAGTGAGTATGGATAGATGTAGAGGAGAGGGGGTATGGCTATGCATGGGGAGGTGAATGCTTCGTTGTTTTTACCCAGAGGCTTTTCTTTCTCGGTTGGCGCCCCCTGCTACAAGAGATTTATTCTCACAAGAAACTGCTGTCTTCCCCTGCCCGTCCCTCCCGAGTTACTCGAGCTGGAGGTAGCGCAGGGAGGAGGTCCCGCTGCTCCTAGCCCAGGCAGAGGAAGCACAGCGCTCCCACCTCCTAGAAACTGAGCCGCGCACTGTGCTCACCCGGAGCCGCGAGGTAAGACTCCTGCTTGGTATTCTTGTCCACGTGCCTGGGATGCCTGTAGCGCTGGCAACCCGCAGGGAGGGCACGGGTGCTCGCGAGCAAGAGTTCTGCTTTTGCCCGCGCTCTGCTAGTCATTTCGCCCAGCCTCAGAGCACACGCTACCGCAAGAACAAGCGGAGGTTTCCTATACGAGACCAATGCTTTCCCGCCGCCAGGCTTGCCCTGACCTGGCGCCGTGGCTGCCGGGAGTGTGCAGGTGCCAGTCTCACCCCTGCTACTGCAGGGAGCGTTTCGAAGAGGAAACGTCTTCCCGGGGGGTAGCAGCGTCACTGCCAGTCTGCAGGGAGCACCCAGGAGCTGCAGCGGAACCTGTGCAGCTCTTAGCTGGGGAAATACCCAGCAAGGCTGTGCACCCCCGGCACAGAGCTTCCCCCATTGCGAGCGTGTGGCGCGTCACTGAATTGTAAAGATGCGGAGTGTTCCCCGCTGGAGAGGCGTAGAAGGGAGAAAGCAATTAGGCAGAATAGGGGGCGGGGAGAGAATAATTTGTGCGGGGTCACCACAGTGACCCACTGCTGGCCGGGCTGTATCCCAGAGCAATGCCGATCAGAGAGCAGGCTGAAAGAGGCGGCGGCGTGTGCAGGGCGCTTCCCCGGCGCCTGCGGCTATTGCTTGGGTTTGCGGTTTACCTAGGGCGGCCCCTGACTGTGCAGACAGCGAGGGCGGTCTAGTGTGCTAGGGCAGCCGCGTGTCCCGGGGAGAAGAGAAGAAAGCAGGGACCCTGCACTGCTAGCGGGAGCCAGCCTGTGCTCATGTAACCACCACGGTTACGCTCACCCCCAGGCACCCTGTGCTCTAGTCTGGACTCAGCCGGTCCGCAGCCCAGCTTTGTCAGCACTGTTTTCATCCCCAGCAGTTGTTTTGAGAGGGCCATCAACATGGGAGTGAAAACCTGAATGGGCCCCTTTCCTTATTCTTTCCCCTTCCCTAGCGGCTCTGCGTAATAGGACTGGGAATCGTGTGTCAACTCCTGTGTCAACTTCTACGTGGAACAGGGCATTCTCAGCTTTTGCTCCCAGGCTGTGGAATTCTCTTCCTCTGGATATTCGCATGGCGCCAACGCTAGCGTTGTTCCGGCGTCAGGCTAAAGCCACCTTTTTTACACGTGCTTTTATTAATGTTTGAGTCTGTACAAGTGTGTGTTCTTCCTCTCTATGGCTGTGTCTAGACTGGCAAGTTTTTCTGCAAAAGCAGCTGCTTTTGCGGAAAAACTTGCCAGCTGTCTACACTGTCTACAGTGCTTTTGCGGAAAAGTGTCCATGCCAATCTAGACGCTCTTTTCCACAAATGCATTTGCGGAAAATCATGCCAGTCTAGACGTAGCCTATATGTTTTTAGCTGGTTATGTCCCTCTGAGGTCTCATATTTTAAATTCTCATATTTTAAATTTTTGTATATATTTGTATGTTTTTTGTTTGTTCCTGTAAGCTGCCTTGAATATTTTAAATAGAAAGGCGGGGTAAAAAAAAATTTAAATAAATAAATAAACTTCTGTGAGGCTATGGCTACACTCGCAGCTTCTTGCGCAAGCATGGCAGTTCTTGCGCAAGAATCCGCAGAGCCTCTACGCAGCCCACCTGCTCTTGCGCGAGGAAATTTACAGTACGGTGTGGCAAGAGAGGGCTTCTTGCGCAAGAGCTACGCTCTTTTTTAACAGGTGTAAGTCCTCTTGCGCAGGATCTCTTGTGCAAGAGGGCAGTGTGGACGCTTGGCCAGGGTTTCTTGTGCAAGAAAGACCTATGACTGCTATGGATGCTCTTGAGCAAAAGCACAGCTGCACATGGTAGTGTGGGTGTTTTCTTGCGCAAGATGTTCTTGTGCAAGAATCTGCTAGTGTAGACATAGCCTAGGGGTGTTGGACTTTGCTCATGGTTTGGGCTATGAACTCTGTTTGTGGTATTTTCCCAAGTTAATGCCATGTGACTTCTCTCTCTGTTTCATTAAATGTTTCTTTTCTACACTCAGACTCTGTGCTTGCGAGTGGGGAAGCATTGCCTCTCAGAGGCACCCATGGTAAGCCCTTTTGCGCAACTGTTCTTGCGCAAGAGGCCAATATAGACAGGCAACATGAATTTCTTGCGCAAGAAAGCCCTATGGTTAAAATGGCCATCAGAGCTTTCTTGCGCAAAAAAGTGTCTACACTGGCATGGATGCTCCTGTGGAAAAGCACATCTCTTGCACAAAAGCACATGCCAGTGTAGACGCTCTCTTGCACAACTACTTTAATGCAAGAACTCTTTCACCAAAGAGTTTTTGTGCAAGGTCATGCCAGTGTGGACGTTTTCTTGTGCAAGAGTTCTTGCACAAGAAGCCGCTACTGTAGACATAGCCTGAGTGTTTAATTATCATTCACCAGTTTCACCTACAGTAAAAATCTTGAGCGTACGAGAGAGAGATTGCTTTTTCCTACTTTGAATATCAGTTTGTGACCAATTCTGAACCTGTTTTCAATGTACTTGAAAACATCTCTTATGTATTTCTCTTACCAAATACAATATCCTCATGGTGGCCGCATAAAGGAAATTCCTGTTCCAAGAAGTTAAAAACAGTTCATTATTATAGGAACTGACTTCTAAAATATATTTGGAAGCTTGTAAGAAAATGTGAGCCATTGTATCGTGTTGTAAATGCTTTATACATTAATTCACTACTTATTCCAGTCACTACTAAAAGCTACCAAAGGGTATAGAATTCGTCCATCTGCTAGCTAGACTACTGTCGTTGGTCATAAAGTGTATACATAGGCGCGCAGCATATTTCATTAGGGCGTGCACCCAGGGAATTTTTTTTAAAGGCAAACATTTATTGAATACTCAATCATAAAGGACATGCTGCAAGCAAATGCGGGCTTTCTATACATTTCTACATTTGGTGTTTGTTGCGTAATACAACAATCCATACTTTAAAACTAAAAGAGCATATCATGCAATTAAATTAAAATGCAAAGCTGCTTTTTTTTTGAGACATTAGGGTGTGCCTGGGCATACCCGGCACACCCCCTGCGCACGCCTATGAGTATATACCATGCTTCAGAAAAAAGGGACAAGCCTATCCAGCCTTATTATGTACCTGGTGCATGTGAAGAGAAAATTTTGATCATTTTAAAATGCACCCAAGCAACTTCAAGTAGGATCAATATAAACATGTTAAAATTCGTTTCAAGTATTATACCTGCTTCTGTTCAGGTTAAGAAGAGAGGGTGGTCAATTTCCTGGTGGTGGCTGTACTACACTACTGTTCCCATTGTTGCCACCAACAGTATTGTGATATTTTCAAGATTAGGAAATCTGAAAAAAAAAGTTTAAATACAGGCAAAATGACTGACTATGGAATTTCTACAGCAGTGGTCATCACTGGTAGATCTTGGAGCCCCTGACAGGTGATCCTGACTGGTTTGGCTGGGAAGCTATCAAGCTCTGGCAGATCAGTTGCCCCTTCACCCCCCGTCATGCTGCCCCTGCCCTGTGCCTTGGAGATGCCCCCAGGAAGCCTCCTGCTTGCTGTGCAGGGTGTAGGAGAGAGAGGATGGGGGGTGCTGATATCACGATGTCCCTCCTCCCCACACTTGGTACCTTATCTCCACGCAGAGAGAAGGGGATGGAGGGAGGGAGCATGGCAATGCCAATCTCTGTCACTCTCACACTGCGTGTGTCTCTGTCATTCCCACAAACACACACTGTCCTTCACACATCTCCCGACCCCACACATGTTGTTCTTGATACTACTTTTACTGCTTGCAGAGTGTGCTATTTTTTGTTTTGATTGGTCTGTGCATTTCTTAATTTTCATTTTTCTTACACTTAAATGTAATTCTTTGAGTAATGAGTTCTAAAATGCCTAACCTTTTGTGGCTGGAGTCATTATCCCTGTGGTAATTGTTGCTCCTGGAAGTGGCTGGCATGTGCCTGCCACCCCTGAGCGAGGCAGAGCAAGGAGTCTCCACATGCTGTCCTTATCTGCAGACCCTACTCTTGCAGCTTCCATTGATCAATAATGGGGAACCATGGACAGTAGTAGAAGCTGTGGGCTCAGTGCCTGTATATGAGGGGCAGCACATGGTGCCATGGAGCCATTGCTGTACATGCCACCTGCTTTCAGGAGTAGTGCAAGGCCAGGGCAGGAGTAAGCCTGCCTTGACTCCACTGCTCCACCACCCGGAACCCATCTCAGTTAAACAGTGTCCAGCCAGAGCTTGCATCCTGCACCCCAGTCCCAGCCCTGAACCTCCTCCTACACCCAACCTCCTGCCCCAGACGAGAGTGCCCCTACACCCAAACTCCTTCCCACAGCTTGCACCCTGAAACACCTCCTGGACCCCAATCTTCCATCTTGGGCTAAGCCTGGAGTGCCTCCCACACTCCAAGACAATCACCTTGGCCCAAGACAAGAGCCTGCATCCCAACCCCCTACACCAGCCTGGTGAAAGTGAGTGAGGACGGGGGAGGAAGTCAGATGGAGTGAGCAGGATGAGGCCTCGGAAAAGGGGTGGAGCAGGGGAGGGCCTCAAAGAAGGGGCAAGAAGGAAGTGGGGCAAGGGTATTTGGGTTTGAGGTAGATTTTACATTGCACTTAAATTTAAAAAGTGGTCTTGTGGTTAAAAAGGTTGAAGACCACTGTTCTACAGAGTTCCAGAAACTGTTTACATAACCAAGGGTATGTCTACACTACCCTCCTAGTTCGAACTAGGAGGGTAGAACTGGTTTGCTGAAATCTGAAGCCCTTTTTTTGATACACTGTCTATATATGCTCAATGAAAACACAAAATACTTCTCTGCACTCTGTTCTCAACAACTCTTTGTAGAGTGGCTAGGGGCTTCAGTTCCTATGGTATGTAAATGAAGTTCTCAGTCTCTTTTGATCACACCTGACAATTGTATCAAATTACATGTGATTCTTTTCAAAAGCAGGGCATTGTTCAGAAGGAACCAAAGACATCTAGCTCAAGACAGTTACATATTATTCTCAAAGCAAGTTTCTAGAGTTTTAAGATTTTACTACCGTTCTACACACCAATCAATAAATAGAGTAGGTTTCTTAAATTGTATTTTAATGCTACAAAAGAAAAGCATTTACTGAATGATTGGTTCAGAGTTTACATTTTATTATCATTACAACTAGCATACCTCTAGCTCTATATCCCAGGGTATGTCTACACTACCCCGCTAGTTCGAACTAGCGGGGTAGTGTAGACATACCCCAAGTTACTTCCATCTGAAGGTATGTCTAAACTACACCCCTTTTTCGATAAAGGGATGTAAATTAGACTTATCGAAAGTGCAAATGAAGCGGGGATTTAAATATCCCTCACTTCATTTGCATAATGGCGGCTGCTGCTTTTTTTCGAAACGGGGCTTTTAGAAAAAAACAGCAATTTAGACGGGGCATTTTCGACAGAAATGCCCCATCTAAACTGCCGTTTTTTTCTAAAAGCCCTGTTTCGAAAAAAAGTGGCGGGGGG